AGAGGGAATTATAGTATAATTTTTTAATAATTTTAGTGAAGGTGATTGTGTAATTTTATAAATATATATATCAAAACAAATAAAATAATAAGATACATTACTAAAAGTAAAAAAAATTGAGTAACAACAATTACTCCCACTGACTTATACATAGATTCGTCTTTGCCTCCAAATCTATGATTTTCTTTTGAACATCAGTTACTATGCCACTTTTGATTTTCCTTTCACTTTTAATTTTTAAAATTTTTTTTTCACCTTTTGTGGCAAGAGAAGTATTTACTTGTGTGATTAATCCTCCTTGATATATATTTTATTATTTGATTCACATCTTGACATTAAGAAGTCCAATATGATCTTGAAAATAAAAAATAACAAAAATACTGAAAGGACTAGGAAAAAAATTAAGAACTTACTAATATAAAATTGTTATAACTATTGGGAATTTGGGAATAGTTTGATATGAATAAACGAGAATGTCTTTCTAATTTAGATTTTTTTTTTTGAGTAATTTTTAGTGTACTTCAAGAAATATGTCGTACTATAATTTGTTTTTCAAAGGCCTTATAATTTAGTGGTATCTTGTTATAAGAGGTGTTTCGTCCCGTATTTTATTTTAAAGGGAAAGTAAAATAATATATATGAATCGGATGTTAGTCTCACTTCATAATTTAAATTTTTAATTTTGACCACGAAGCACCGGACCTTTACCATTGGTGAGCGTTCAAGTGAACCCACTAGAATAGGCAGAATAGGTAAAGTGGCCCGATCACAAACAAATATTTGCAATATAATATAAGAACATTACAAAATTTTTCACACAAAATGACATTATTCTTCTGTAATTTCACTATATTATGTTTGTAGGCACAACTCAATTTCAAAAAAATGATATGATATTTTTTAACTGGTATATATAAGTTTAAATTAAAACATCTAGAGAGAGAAATAATTGAAAATCAAAATCCACGTCTATATATCTTATACATCGTTTATGTGAAAGAAAATTATGCTTTTGACAACAAATTTAATATATATAAAAAAAAAAATTATATATCGTTTATGTGGAAGAAAATTATGCTTTGACAACAAATTTTTTTTTTTTTTTTTTAAAAAAAGAAACAAATTCAGACCAATAAAAAATTGAGTAGGGTCTTCCCTCGAGTAGATATGATGATGATCATCATTATATGAAGGAAAAAGCGCGCGGGACATATATAGATTATTGGGAAGCTTCACTTCTAGAAATGATTTTGTTGCACATGTTAATTGACAAATGCCAATAATGGGATTTGCACAAGACGACAAATATATTGTCTTTCACGATTTTATTATTATTATTTTTTTTACCTGGCAAAGAGAAAACAAACATACCACAACTACCAACACATTCACAAAGGACACCACAGATGCAACAAAGGTTAGTTATAGAAAGACAAACAAAACCTGAAGCAAAAAAAAAAAAGAATAAAGAAAATTGAAGACCTGATTTTAAATTTGCTAAGAAAAATAACGAAAATCACCAAATAAGACGATTATCAATACACAAAGGTCAGACCATTATCAATATAATAGTTCTAAAACAATATCCATAAGGCACCTTCGACAAGTAAAAAAAAACACCCAAACTCCGCACAAGTCGAGGACAACAAAAGCCGACATAGATAGAAGAAGAACAATAGATCTACCCAGTCTGGTCGGAAACAAGTCAAACAGAAACAAATCTAGCAAAACAAAAACAAAAACGGTGTAAAAAACACCCACACAGCGTACTTATTATTACACGTCGATTTTATTTAGTTTGTGGGAGGCAAGAAATATCACCTCCCCCGCGTTCTAATTTTTAAAAATAATACGGATATGAAGATATGATATCATAATTTGTTTTTTTATTTTTAGCTACTGTAAGATCAAGTCCACCGCGTCACATTCATAAACTGTTCTACCTTAGTATATTGGTTATGGGGCTTCAATTCACATTAGATCCGGTAAGACCAAATATGAAAGTTGATGGTAAATTGGTAATTCAAGTCTATGAAAGACTGACAGTTAGACAATTTGAAATCTATACAGTACACTCTAATTTATCATATAATCACGTGTATTCAACTTTTAAAATGGATTAACATTTTCGTTTGTTTGGGGGTAAAATAATTTTTATTTTTTGGTATTTAATTTTTGTAAAATATTTACGAAAAAAAGAATATTAAAATTTTCTAATAAATATAACTTACTTATTAATTTTCAGTAAGTTAGTACTTCTGACCTCAATCTCAACATAGACACTTGTCAAACACCGAAAAATAAAAATAAAAATAAAAATTTATATTTTACCTGAAAAATAAAAATTATTTTTAAGACAATTAAGAAAAATATATAATTTACTTTAAAAATTAAGACAAAATGGAAGAATTTTCAAATAAAGCATGGAAATTAGGGGGGGGGGGGGGGAGAGAGAGAGAGAGAGAGAGAGAGAGGATCTAAAATTCAACAAAAATGCTTAATTTAGTAAATTAAGAATAAAAGTAATGAAGAAAGTATAAGGTGGTGACATCATGGCCATTATCACCAAGGCCCCACACCATCCAATTTTTACAAGTCAATGACACCCACCCTCGCGTGCGCATAAAGAAAACTTTAGCGTCATTCTTTTTTACTTCCAACTTTTTAATTAATTACAATCTATTTTAGAAAGAAAAAAACCCAATTAATGATTTATTTTTTAACAACAGGAAATTAATATATAGGGTGTGGTTGAATCCGGCTAAGAATTTGAATAGGAATCCCAAACATACCTGCCAAGTGGACAATAACTTAGCTGGTCCTAACCTACCATCTCAAATGACAAATCGAGTTAAAGTCTCAATGAAAACATAAATGTGTTTGCTTAATCTTAAAAAAATAATAATAATAAAATAAAATTTCCAAACATACCTATATATGAGCAAGGCTATCAAATTAAATAATACCATAGATAAAGTATAACATATGTATATTATCCACTTGACACTTATTAAATTGCAAACCATAGAAAAGATTGGAACTGTACTTTGACACTAAAACCTAATGTTGGAAAAATCACCTCATTTACGTAGTGTAAAATCAAGTGCCAATAGTATTAAAATAATAATAATAATAATCAAGTGCCATTGTCAAAAAAAAAAAAAAAGAAAAAAGAAAAATGCCTAGTTCAACTGGTACTAAAATTAAGTTTTCGCGGTCTAGCTAGTCTAATTTCCAGCACCACCCTTGCTCCAAGTGAATAACAGTACAATTGAGTGAGCCGATTAGTTTAAAAACAATTTTTATACATTTTAGTTGCCTACTTGTGATATTAGTTATTAGGGTAAACTGCCAAAAAAAAAAAAAAAAATGTGCTATATAAAAAATATGCAAAAAAAAACATCTTACAGTACAAGTATGTACATATAAATTTCTAAAATTTGAAAATATGTGTAAATTGCATTTTGACTGTTAATTTTAATCATTTAAAAAAAAAAAAAAAAATTTCTAAAGTACCTTAATAATCAGTGTTTTTTATTTTTATTTTGTCTTAAGAATATTTTAAATATTTTAGTCTTCAAACGACAAAATGTCCTTATTTGCTCAATTTAAAAAATATAAACATTTTGTATATAATAAGAATTTTTATTTATTTTTTATTTATTTTTTTTTATTTTTTATTTTTTTGCACTTACGCTAACTATTATCAGTTGGTATCTTTTTAACGAGGAGTTAGGTTCTATGCTAGGAACAACATTGTTAGTATGTGAACATTTGCTTGAACTTTTAAAAAATTTGTGATAATATTGTTATTATAATTTTAACAAAAGAAGAAAAAAATCAAGTGCCAAAGCAAATAATAATCTCATATTGGAATTGGGTAAAATGCAAAAAAAACCTTCTAGAACTATGTCTGAATTTGCAAATAAGTCCATTGAAATATATTTTGTGCATAATAAACCCCCTAAGTATCACATTTTATTGTAAAACGGCTTAGAGTTAGAGCCTAGATTATTTTCATTAAATTACCATAACTTATTGAATTGCACTTAATCTATTTTTCTTGAAATAAATTATGAAAAAAATTTCATACTAATTTGATAACATATTCTTCATTAATTTGCATAATTTTACCTTTAATATTCAAATTAATTGTTTAAACATTAATATTTAGTATAAGATTTCAAAACCATTTAAGTAATTTCTTAATTTTTTTTATGAATATATTGTATTAAAAAGAAGGTATTTTTTATTTAAATTAATTTCTTAATTTTTCATTAATATATTATATGAAAAAGAAGGATTTTTTTTTTTACTGTAAAAAAGTTTAAACGGAGTATAATAAATTTTATTATATAGTAGATTTTTAATAATAAGTTAATCATTTTTAGGAAAGTAGTAGTTACAAATCTATTTTATTTTTCTTTCTATTTTTATGATAAATTGATACTAATAATAAAATTAAGGTAAATGATATAAATAATATTTAGATAAGAGATAAAATAATAAAAACAATTTAATAAAAAATAATAATTTATTGAGAATGAAAAAATAGTCTTTTATGATAGTTTTATCTTTAATTACAGCAAATTGATAATTCATGAATGCAATTTGTAGTTAGATATATATTTTTTTAATTCACTTTACCTTATTATGTACTGACACGGAAAAAAACAGAAGCTCTTTGGCATCATAGAGAAGAAAAACTGAAAGAATAGGTCACCCAAGCAGAACACAGAAAAGAACAAAGCGATGAAAAAGAAGCATCAAAAAAGAGGTGAGAGAAACGGAAATGGGATAAAGCCGTAATGATGAAAGGTAGTCAAAGTCTCTTGTCCGAATAAAAACAAAGAGGAAACTAATAGGAGGAGGGTTTCGATCAAGAGGTTTTTTCATGGGCCTTTTGAAACTGCAACAACTTTACAGGGGCAATACTGTCTTTTCACAATGAGATTTGCCCCAATTCATCAGGGAAATGTGGCCGCCCATGTCATTTGTCTTTTGGGTAACGCTGGAGTAATGATATTAATCAGACTCTCTCTCTCTCTCTCTCTCTCTCTCCTCTATTTATTTCATTCTCAAAAACACACACTAACACATACTTTGTGTAACACAAAAAACTAGGAAGCAAGCTCATCCTGCTTCTTCTTCTTCTGGTCCTAGAAGTCCATGGTCATGGCCAAAAGAAAGATGTTTGTTTCCATGGTCTTTGTTTTGCTTCTTGTGCAAGTGGGTGCTTCACATGAAGTTATAGAAGAAGAAGCTGACCGAATTTCGGCTCTTCCGGGACAGCCCAAGGTCTCCTTTCAGCAGTTTTCCGGCTACGTCACTGTTAATGAAATGGCGGGAAGAGCCCTATTTTACTGGCTCACTGAGGCTGCTCATGACCCCTTGTCAAAACCTTTGGTTGTCTGGCTTAATGGAGGTCTAATCTCTCTCTCTCTCTATATATATATATACACACACACACACATTATGTACGTGCAGTTGGCTTTGGATTGGAGTAGCAAATTTAAGTTTTGCTAATACAAATCTACGAATGGTCCATTGGAAGCGACCAATTTTTTTTTTTATTTTTTTTTATTTTACTGTTGCATTGCTTGTTAGGTAGTAAGATGCTTTGTATTTTATGTGTATGTACTCATTTCATGATCAGTCCAAAAACAAAAGAAGTGCATGTGATCATTAAAATTGTTACTTTTTTGCTCACATATCCTTGAAGTTCTTTTTAATTAACTGCATATAAATGTAGGTGATTAATATTATGTTGTTAAATGTTGGTGGTTAGTAGATGATATGGCTATAGAGCAAATGAAGGTCTAATTCTTTGATTTGTGCTATTCTAATCTTTGTATTTGCCCAAAAGAGAGTCCTTATTGATGAGAAATTATTGTACTTTGACTATATCCATTTCTATATCCATTTAGTCAAAGTACAATTATTTTCCATCCATTCATGCTCGAAGCTATATATATAGATAGGCCTGTTTTGTCTTTTGGTTATGCTTGGTCTAGTGAAGGTTTTTTTTGCCAATTATAAGAGTACAGTTTGCTCATGTCCGTAGTCACTCCAATTTTCCTAATGACAGAAATGAATGATGACCTAACTACCGACGAAGTTGAAGCCCACGAGTCCATGAAAACACACACACTCTCTCTCTCCACAATTATATTGTTGCATGCAGTAACCAGAGAAATTGAATGCTTGAAAGCAACCAAAAACAGTCGTCATTTATTGATATCAGCTCTGGTAAAGTACGGTTAGCCAGCTTGTCAGCATGCGTGGTGCACTATGCAAAAACTTGCAGACACTCTATTTAATCTATATTTAGCACATCTTTTGACTCTTTCTCTTGCAAAATTGTCCATGCCATAAAATCTGAATGAATAAAATAGTCTTAACCAACCAATTAAAATCAGTTTCTTAACTAAATGTGTTCCTTTTATTTAGTCTCCCCGTCTAATAATTTATTATAATTGATCGAACCATATAGTGGAGTTGTAATTAATGGGTCACAGCACATGATGATGGGAGTGATATCAGCCGTCTGATATTAGACACGGATTCTTAAGTGGGACCCATTACATAATAGGGCTGATGGTATGACTAGCTAAATGTTGATGTTTCTTTGGTAAGCAGGTCCAGGATGCTCTTCAGTGGCATATGGTGCATCTGAGGAAATAGGACCATTCAGGATAAACAAGACAGCCTCTGGCTTATACCTCAACAAATTCTCATGGAACACTCTGGCTAACCTACTCTTCCTTGAAACTCCGGCCGGTGTAGGCTTCTCTTACAGTAACAGATCATCGGATCTCCTTGACACGGGCGATCGTCGCACCGGTAGGGCCCACCACCTCCATGTTGCATAAATATTGTCATTGCAATTATATCTTGTTCTTATCAGAAAGAATTTAATGAATGATTGTTACTGCCTAGCTATCAAAAATTGGACGGTACGTCCAAGTTGGTAGGCCATGTTTTTAAGTGATTAGAAGCACTGAATTATATCGATCTCTTGTCCTTGTCTTTCATGGATTGTGAAAAAAATTAACCATTTGATTGACGTTAACAAATTAGTCAAATATAAAACAAGATCAACTAAATTTGTATATGATTAAAGTGCAAAACAATTTTAGTATGGACCATGAACTTTGTTATTCAATCTAGTGTGTATGTCTAATGGGAAATTGTGATTCAGCTGAGGACTCACTACAGTTCCTAATCCGATGGATGGATCGATTCCCACGTTACAAAAACCGGGAAGTTTATATAACCGGAGAGAGCTACGCCGGTCATTATGTGCCACAATTAGCTAGAGAAATAATGAGCTACAACACCAAGTCCAAGCACCAAATAAATCTCAAAGGATTTATGGTAATTCATGCATTTCATATTATCTTAATTATATATAATACCGTATATCACTTCTTGTTTTCTTTGCTTTATACTGTTACATTGATACATGTAACAATTAATGCAGGTTGGGAATGCAGTGACAGACAATTACTATGACAATCTGGGAACAGTGACATATTGGTGGAGCCATGCCATGATCTCCGACCGGACTTACCGGCAACTGATCAATACGTGTGATTTCCGGAGGCAGAAGGAGTCGAACGAGTGTGAATCCATGTACAGTTATGCCATGGATCAAGAATTCGGAAACATTGATCAGTACAACATATATGCACCCCCTTGCAACAATTCTGATGGTAGCAGGGCCACCCACCAGACCATGCATTTGCCTCACAGACCCCACCAGGTATATATATATATATATATATATTTTACTCTATCATCTAACCAAATAATAACAACTATTACATGTTTTGGGGGTCACAAATTCAACTTCTTTTTTTTTTCAGTTATCTGAATCATATTTTGACATTTTCATTTATATTTTTTCAATATTTTGAAGTAACATCTTTAGAAAAGTGACATGTTAAGAGAAATTTATATATATAGTTATATTTCATTATAGTTCATACAAACATTAAGAAGAGTTCGTGTATTTTTGGTCCTTTCTTAGACATTTAGGCAGATATCTGGATATGATCCTTGTACGGAAAAATATGCTGAAGTTTACTACAATAGGCCAGATGTGCAGAGAGCCCTCCATGCCAACATAACAAAAATTCCTTATAAATGGACTGCGTGCAGGTAAACTAATTTAATTCATTCTTTTTTTCAATTGTTTATTTTATCCCAATTTTTTTATAAAATAAAAATAACAATTTTATATATAGAAAAATCTCAAAATGTGCAGGCTATTATGTGCTTGTTAATGTGTGTTTCTTTCTTTTTTTTCAATGCAGTGAAATTTTAAATCGGAATTGGAACGACACGGATGTATCGGTTCTTCCAATATATAGGGAAATGATAGACGCTGGTTTGAGAATTTGGGTTTTCAGGTTGGCAATTTTTCAGTTCACTAGACTTGTTAATTCTTCCAAATTTTTTACTCATTTTAGATGACTTGAGTACTTTGCTTTTCCTCTCAAAATTGTCCGATTATAGCGGTGACGTCGACTCCGTAGTGCCAGTTACGGCCACAAGGTATTCCCTTGCACAACTGAAGTTATCAACCAAAATTCCATGGTACCCATGGTATGTTAAGAAACAGGTCAGTAACTCACTCTGTTCTAGTCTTTATTATCTGCTAATTTGTAATTTATAGTTGTGTGCGCCTTTGTTTGAACTTATATATCATTAAACTTGAAAAAAGATCGCGTATCATCCGATACGTCGCGTATCATCCGATACGTATCGGATGATACGCGACCTTTTTTCAAGTTTAATGTATGAATAACATTAATCAATTTATACTAATTTTATCTGAATTCGTTATATCGCAACTACCGATCATGATATATATACACGTGTGTGGGTCATAATATATTGATGTGGTTTTGTGAAGGTGGGAGGGTGGACAGAGGTATACAAAGGGATAACATTTGCAACAGTGAGAGGGGCAGGTCATGAAGTACCACTTTTCAAACCAAGAGCAGCACTTCAGCTTCTCAAATCATTTTTGAAAGGAGAGCCTCTTCCAAAGTCTTGAATGCCATAAATATATCTCCTTTGGAACACGAAGTGTTCTTCTGTATTCCAAGTCAAAATCATAGTCAATTGTTAATTGTTAGTGAGAGAGTTCTGATCTGATAGAAGAAGAAGGAACATGTGGAATGGAGTTCCTTTTCTTATTCTTAATTATATCAAATATGTTCCTATTAATTTGAGGTGGGATGTAAGGAAAACAATGGTGTGGTCTATTTGGTTAATTTTGGAATGATAGCTATTTTGATTATTTTAATGTTTACAAATTAAATTTCATTATGCGATAAAAGTTTACAAATTGCGGTGCCTTGTCTTTATTCAACATCGATTACATGCACTTGTGTTATTCACTTTTAACAAACAACTAGAAAGAAAAAAAAAATGTTGTGAAAATTAAATGAAGAAAAGAAGAAAAAAAAAAATTCCGGATCACTTATATTTATGTAATTCATTAAAAACTATGATGAAAAACACGAAATTACAAAATTTAAAATGGTAACCGCCCTTATTATCTTTTTTCAAGTTTAATATATGAATAGCATTGATCAATTTATATTAATTTTATCTGAACTCGTTATACCATAACTACCCATTATGATATATAGTGTGTGGGTCATAATATATTGATGTGGCTTTGTGAAGGTGGGAGGGTGGACAGAGGTATACAAAGGGATAACATTTGCAACAGTGAGGGGCAGGTCATGAAGTACCACTTTTCAAACCAAGAGCAGCACTTCAGCTTCTCAAATCATTTTTGAAAGGAGAGCCTCTTCCAAAGTCTTGAATGCCATAAATATATCTCCTTTTAAACACGAAGTGTTCTTCTGTATTCCAAGTCAAAAGCAAAGTCAATTGTTAATTGTTAGTGAGAGAGTTCTGATCTGATAGAAGAAGAAGGAACATGTGGAATGGAGTTCCTTTTCTTATTCTTAATTATATCAAATATGTTCCTATTAATTTGAGGTGGGATGTAAGGAAAACAATGGTGTGGTCTATTTGGTTAATTTTGGAATGATAGCTATTTTGATTATTTTAATGTTTACAAATTAAATTTCATTATGCGATAAGAGTTTACAAATTGCGGTGCCTTGTCTTTATTCAACATCGATTACATGCACTTGTGTTATTCACTTTTAACAAACAATTAGAAAGAAAAAAAAATGTTGTGAAAATTAAATGAAGAAAAGAAGAAAAAAAAATTCCAGATCACTTATATTTATGTAATTCATTAAAAACTATCATGAAAAACACGAAATTACAAAATTCAAAATGGTAACCGCCCTTACTATCTTGTTATAGAATTAGAGCTACAATAACACATCGATGAAAATACAAAAATAACATGCTATTAATCTAAAGTCAATATATATATATAAATAAAAACTATTTTTTGTATTTCATATTTAAAATTTATTTTTCTTATTCATCTCCTTCAGACCTCATATATTCGAATCTCACGTACAGTTGATTTAATTAAAATTCTAAACAATCACACTAATTCAACATATCAGATGATAAGTAGCTAATTGTAATGGTTGTATTCATATAGAGCAAGAAGAGTTAGAAAATTATGTTACTAAAATTTTGATGACAAGTCATTTTTGTGAAAAGTTGGTAAGATATTTTATCTTCTAAAACAGTTTATTTAATTTTAGGATAACCAAATAAAATAAAATCATAAAAATATGCCCTTAAACTTAGTTCGAAACAACAACTAAATTTTATCTGCACTCCTTATATAAGAATCTTAACGGTTATGATCCATTATAATTAATGACTAGGATCGTTTTCATCTAAATATTTACAATCTCTAATAAACACTTCACACTTTTAGAAGGTTCTCTAACTAATATAAACTCTTTAATGTTCTAGAATCTCTACCCTACAATATTTTATAATTTTTTAAGCAAATGTAAAAGATTCTAGAATTTAATTCTCCTTGTAGGTGCCTCCTAATGTTAAATGGCCAACATTACATGATAATTTAGATAGGAACGATTTTAACGGAGAACGGCATTTGATTGAACATTTTGGTAGTGTTTGGAAGAACTTCTTAAAAATATTTTTTAAATTGAACTATTTATATTGTTAAATATTGTACAATTTAAAATTTGTAAGCCACTTTTTTTTTATGTTAAAAAGTTAAAAGTTGAAATATGCAATAACATCCTTTTAGCCAATCCCTTGTATAACAATTTTTTATGTTTGGTTTTTAAAGAAGACATTTCATTTTTCTCCTATTGTAGCCAGGGGGCGGCCTGTTAATGTTTGAGACGTAAATCAAAATTTTAAAATTAGGCCTTCTTTTATTGAATATATTAATACAATATTAATATTTTTTTATTCAAGCAAACATAAAGCATTATTTTTATTTTTAATTTTAGAAATAATAATTTAATTTTGTGGGCAATTAATGTGTGAGGGTCCAAAAGAAATATAATGACAATTATTGGCATGCAATAGGGATAGTGTTTTATTTTATAGGGTGAGAGAGTTCAAAATAAATAAAATGTTGAATCATTTTTGAGATGTAAATAGAGATAGTGATTTTATTTTGTAGGCAACTGATTTTTTTTTTGGTTAAAAATTTGTAGGCAACTGATGATGCGTGAGAGTTCAAAAGAAGTAGTATGAAGTTGAATAATTATTGATATGGCAGAGAATTTTTTTAAAAAAATACATCATATAAGAAGCCCTAATGACAGAAATAAAGGGCTTGTTTGTCTGCTCTTCCTGTAAAAGGCTTCTAAGGTTAAAAAGTCCATTCCCAAAAATAATGAGTGCTTGTTGAAATTTCTAAAAACGGACGTTTAAAACTTTTTCCAATTTTAAAAGAACTTGTATTAGTAAATACAATATGAGTTATATTTATTTGATAATTAATACATTGAAGAGAACATAATTAATGTATTAAGAAAAATCTGGGACCTCTTTTACCATTTGGACGGCAACTTGTATTGATCAATATAATAAAAATTGTATTTATTTGGTAATTAATATAATAAAGGAAATATAATGAAAACGATCCGGTTTTTCCTCTTTTATATATTATTTTAACTTATTTTAGAGAACTCCAAAAACAAAAGCTGGAATAGCTCAGTTGGCTAGAGCGTGTGGCTGTTAACCACAAGGTCGGAGGTTCAAGCCCTCCTTCTAGCGTGCATGTCTATTTTTTTTGCTTCGTCCTCTACCTTTTCTCATGTTCTCCACTATGAATAAAATTGCAAATCTGATCTCATTGAAAGGTAGATGATATATGAACAATAACTCTACATTATTCTATATATTTTCCATCTAACACACTAAATTCACCGTTACAAGCTAGTCTTAAAACATTATAATTAGAACAACATACTAATTTGCAAAAACTGACCGGAACTGCATCAGCAGCAGCTTGACCTCCCATGAACTGAAGGGCATTTCCTAGGCCACACAAAAAACCAGCCAAAAAGGCCCACTTTCTCCCATTCCAATCTTTCAGATAAGCTGTCAATGATGATTTAGGTAAGTTGAGTAGAGGATGACACAGGAAAACGACATTTAAAACAACTGCAACCAAACAAAATTATGAACCACCCTTTCCAAACACACTTCTCAAACACCTGTCTTCATTAGTATTACTGAACACCTATTTGTACAAAAGATGTTGCTTGATAGGACTAGTAATCCATGTAATTTCACATAGTGAACAACTTTGATTAATGACACAGAGAACAAGAAAGTCTGAAGTTCCAGCCTTTGCTTTGCCGCTTCATTATTCCCATTTTCTAAATCCTCCTTTCGATCCGACAATACTGCTTTCTTATAGAATGTTTCTCCATCTTCGTAACTATTGAACAAGTCTCTAAGTTTTGCTTCGTTATCGGCTACATTGGAAGAATGAACCACAAATCCAAGACAAACTGCAATAAGAAAGCATCCAACACAGGGGAAAAGGATACTTGCTTTGTTGATTCCATCATCCAAGAAATAGTTTAAGGTAGTGCCTGTTACAATGAAACATATGTGTTTAGCTCCAATTTCACATACCATCCTGCTTCCTCAGTTTGTTAACAGAACATACTGGGTAAAGTAAACTTGAATTTAATTATGTGTGTTCATGTCATCAGTCATCACATAAGTATATTCTGTGTGTTCATGTCATCAGTCATCACATAATTTAGTATCTGTCTGTGTGATACTCAATCTGCTACTGACCAAAATTTGGAACATTTTGTCTTCAACAAATTAATGAGGCTTGGTTTTCGTGTTCAGTTTACTGTGGAACAAATAATTTCGATGTAATTTGGAGAGTGTCAACAATGAAGTTATTTTGCAGTCTTGCTAGGGAACTTCTAAATAGTGATGAAGTTTGGAGCTGACTTAAAATTTATTCAATAAATTTGTTAAATAATACTTGGATTATACTTTTTGTGACATTTATATTCAAAATACTAGCTATTCACCAATTTTAACTCTTGATTGAAAATAATTAGAGACAAACCTGAGAAAGTTGAGTGAATAAATTTGGCATATTGGGGTTGGCAAAGGTAAGACCTATGGTTGCTGCAGCCAAGAAGTTAGTGATTAAAAAATGGAGGTAAGTATGTTGAGGAAGACGACCTTGTCTCTCTGGGAATGTCAGAATTGCAGGCCAAGTACCCAGTAACACAAGTGCAAGCAGCATGCAAGCTATGGCACCTTGCTTAAAGTTAAAATAAAGAGCTCTTACCGAATTTAATTAATGTGAGAAGGGTGGCGAATCCCATCACAAAACGTCATGCTGATATCATATGGTGGGCTTCACTGTCCATTCATATAAATTGAATTCAATAATTATATAATTCAGTTCTTAAATCATTATTCTAAAATAAATAGAAATGAGGATCTCATGATTTGTCTAATATATATACCTACATTTATTGCATCAAAATAATAGTAATAATATAATAAAATAGAAATAATTAGTCTGAATATAAATGGCGGGCTTCACACTGTTTTATAGTATTATGACCATGCACGGACCGATATAACCCCAATATATATATATATATATATATATATATATATTTGATAGAAGTTACAACGAAGAGAGGGAAGAACAGTGTGTGGCCTTTGTTGAAAAAGACACTTGGGCTCTGTGCAGGGACCTACACATAGTCCCCCATTTTTTTTTTTTTTTTCTTTTTTGTAATTTATCTTTGTTAACTTGATTTTTTCAATTATAGATCTATAAAATATTACTATTGCCCTCCTTAAAATTATTTTAAAAATTTATTACTGTACCCCCAACTTATTTTTTTGGCTCCGTTTCTTGCCCCATAAAGTATTAAATATTATAATCGATTCCTGCTAAATATAAATAATTTTTTAAAAGGAGTGCGTTGCTAAATTATTATATTCAAAACATTTCATCATCTATCTAATTATTTACAATCTCTTCTAAATTCTTCACTCTTCTTGAAAGATTCTCTAATCTAAATGTTCATATAAATTCTCTAATGCTGTAGGATGCCCCCAGCCCTCTATAGAACCCTATAAATCTCTACACAAATATCAAAAGATTCTTAACTTATGTGATTGTCATATAATTCCAGTTGGTCTATAGTGTAATTCCGAAACTACCTTAAAAGTTGTGGAAGTGTCTATAATGCAATAGTTTTCGATCATATTACAAACATAGAACTTAAATTCTTTTGCCAGATGATAAAAATGATATATATAAAAATTAAAATAAAATAATAAGGATAATAAATCATCGTAATTATGATTAAATAAAATTATTAATTTATTGAAATTAAATCTAAAATCTGTAGACATAGTTACAAACAAAATAAAAAATATCTTTACATTAGACACGAGTGTTCAAATATTATTTGATAAATTAAGGGGAGAAGAGGCTAAATTAAGGGGAGAAGAGGCTGAACACGGATACACTCAAAAAATTAAGAGCTCAACCAACTAGTTATTAAATGCCTCATTACCTATATAATCTAATTGTCTATAAGATAGCAGTTCAAACCCAAATGGCCCCTCTTAATCAATATGGGC